CTCCCTCCCCCTCTCTTTTCATTTCTGCTGCCAACTAGGTGTGTAGACCAGGAGGATGTTCTGGTGGGCAGGAGGTGGTCTGGGGCAGATCTGTCTGTGGTCAGAGTGAGTATCGTGTCACACAGAGCTGGTATTTTAAAGCTGCAGCAGTGGAAGCTCTGCTGGAAGGGAACTGGGAAGGGAGACAGACTGGGAAGAACCCCCACAGCTCTTCCATAAACCATCCAGAGACGTGGCTTTGCTCTGGAGTTTCATGGAACAGTCTCTATTGCTCCTTTTACTTGGCATCTAAATCCTCAGTCTGGCGATGTCAGTCATCTGTGTCCTCTGTATATTCTCAGAGCGCAAACAGAGCATTCTCCTGGTAGAACAGGGTGAATCTTTGCTGTCACACGCAGGGCAGGATTTGTGTCTCATTTGTGATGGATGCTCTTTTCTCCTCTTAACGAGAATTCTGCCAGAGCTGAACAGGGTGGAGAAGTCCTTCACCTCTACATTCTGCAGAATGCCAAGGTTTCTGGAAAGCTGACTTTTAAAAATTAGATTTCAGTAAGACTTGAATGTTTTCTACTGAATAGCAAGGCTGCCTTTGATCTGTAGGCTCTGTTAATGATGCTTGCCAAGTGTGAGCTAAGTGTTTGGAGCTCTCACAGCTTGCAAACCAAGTCAGTGCAGGAGCACTTGCTATAAATGTACAGCAAGAGGAATCCTCACTATTCAATGAGGCCACCCATTGCTGCCATCCTGGGGTGCTGTATTGGCACAGCCTGGGCCTCACTCTCGGGCTCTTGAAGACCCTGGAGTCACTACCCTCTGCATCAAACCTCTGAGGTGTGTATGTCCCAAGCACAGAGTCAGAGCTGTTTTGTTGTCTGTGATTTTGTGGGTTGGAGAAATAGAAATAGGGCACAGTCCCCCACCAACCCTCTGAGATCTGAAGAGAAAATTAAAGCAACTGACCCTTTTGAATTCATGTAGTAGGTCACAAGGTGTAAAAAATGAATCACCCAACTTGAGCCGATTTACTCCCAACGCATGAGTGTTAGGAATGGGCACTTGTGGTAATGTGCTTTGTGACTATTAGAGATAGGGAGGTAGTTTATAAGCTGTCATGCACCATAAAAATTACTGCTATGGTGGTATTTCCTAAAATGGGTAACTTGAAGCAGAAAGTAATTAGGAAAGGCTAACTATTGCCTATAATTAATTTTGTATAGTTTTGTTTGTATTGGTTATTGCTGGATGTAGTGCCTTAGAGCCTATTGGTCTTTGGTTTTTTTTGGTATCAGGGATCAAACTCAGGCCCTTGTGCTTGCGAGGTATGCAGTGGAACCAGTGAGCCAATCCCCAGCTTTTGTTGGTCTTACTCTGCACAGCTATGACTTTCAGGAACACAGTA